AGAAAGAAAGAAAGAAAGAAAGAGAAAGAAAGAAAGAAAGAAAGAAAGAAAGAAAGAAAGAAAGAAAGAAAGAAAGAAAGAGAAAGAAAGAAAGAAAGAAAGAAAGAAAGAAAGAAAGAAAGAAAGAAAGAAAGAAAGAGAAAGAAAGAAAGAAAGAAAGAAAGAAAGAAAGAAAGAAAGAAAGAAAGAAAGAAAGAGACACAGAGAAAGAAAGAAAGAAAGAAAGAAAGAAAGAAAGAAAGAAAGAAAGAAAGAGAAAGAAAGAAAGAAAGAAAGAAAGAAAGAGAAAGAAAGAAAGAAAGAAAGAAAGAAAGAGAAAGAAAGAAAGAAAGAAAGAAAGAAAGAGAAAGAAAGAAAGAAAGAAAGAAAGAAAGAGAAAGAAAGAAAGAAAGAAAGAAAGAAAGAGAAAGAAAGAAAGAAAGAAAGAAAGAAAGAAAGAAAGAAAGAAAGAAAGAAAAGGGCATCCATCCATAGGGATAAAATTAACGATTAAGCTGATTCCTGGCCCAATAGAGTAAGTCTTATACAAGCCCATGTGCATGTAAGCCTGCATATTATCAGAGACATGCCAGGCTCCAGTTTGGGGGGGGGGGATCCTTATTAAACACTAATATAACATTGTATGGTACAGAATTATATGCTAGAAGTATTTAGATGCAAAGATATATCCATTGGTGCCCATCAGGCTCCCAGTCCTTTATGAATTTATATTATTTATGCATTTATTTGTAATCTAGGAGATGGATATGTATGGGGGATCTGCCAGCCTCCAGTACCATATTTATATCCAGCAATGTCTCTGGGACTTGCATGGACCCCAGATGAATTTTGGAAAATAAAGGGTGAGGATGTAGGATGGAGACACTGTTTTTTTTCATGTCTGTTTTGCCTCTTTTATGTTTTATTTTTTGGCTGTTTCGGTTGGTTTTGTTTTGGCGTAGTCTATCTTTTGTCTGCTTGTTCTTATTCATGATGAAATGTATATTTGTTCCTTATGTGTCTGTCTTCTTTCTCTCTTTGTGTAGGATGTTGCTTGTCTTTGAACCTCATCAGTTTGATTTTGGATTTTTTTTTCTTACAAAATAGAACACTGTGGGTTCAAAAGAGCATTATTTTGAAGCTCAGCCCCTCACTTGTGTCTTTTTCTTGGGTAAGTTATATCCCTATTAGCATAATTTGGAATTGTTTTCTAACTGGCTATAATTACAATCATAGCCATTTCATGAATGGCCAAATCCACTATGTAACTGTTTGTCATAAGCTCTATGTATTCTGAAAATGCCCGCTGGCTGAGAATGTTGGAGATCTTCATATATGAATGTGTAAGGAACTGTTGAATTACACATAGGCAAGAGGTTCTGGAGAATAAATCCAACAAAAGATAATATGTATGCAGTATATAAATGCTTTCAGACATCTGTACACTGAAAACATAACTAGGAAACATCTGTTGCTAGGGAGAGAGTAATGGCTAGGGACTAAGACTGGTTGATGTGATCTCATTTTCACAATGAACCAGGCTTAATTATCACCCATTACAAAAATTATTTGAGTGTGATATTTTACATGGGGAATAAGGAGAAAAAATACCTCTTATGTTTTTCTCTTACTATTATTCTCTTGGGGAAAATGCAGACATGTATCAGTATTTTTCTGGCATAGCTGAGTGGACAAAAATTCTAGAATGTTTCAGCTATATCCTCCTTGCTTGATGGACATAGCTGGCTTGAAATTGCAGGAAATGTGTGCTCTTCAGTGGTTTCTCATCAAACTGAAGTATCAAATGAGATCTTTCAACATTTTTGTTATTGATATTCTTCAACATGTTTGTTAATGACTTGGATGAAGAAGGGGAGGGAATGCTGATCAGATTTGATGCAAAAATGAGTGGGATAGCTAATTCTCTAGAATACAAACAAAATTTAAAATAATCCTAAGAGAAATGAGCTGAAAGTTATAGAACGAAATTAAATATTAGACAAATCCATTTTTTTTTTCACTTAGGAAATAGAAATCAAATGCATACATACTGAATTCAGGTTACCTGCCTGAGTAACATCACATGTGAAAATGATTTTAGAATAGCAGTTTACTGCAAATTGAACATGAGTCAGCAGTGTGATATAGCTACAGAACAAGGCAAATGTCATTTTATTCTGCATTGGTCAAATCCTGACCTCAGCAATATGTCAATTTAAGGAAATACATTTTAAGAAAGATTGAGATCAACTGGACAGGTCTGGAGAAGATCACAAGGATGATCAGAGCAGTAAAAAGTAAATTCTACAAGAAGAGATGGAAGGAATTAGAAATGTTTAGCCTTTAGACTCATGGGGGAAGGAAATACGATGGCAGTCTTTGAGCCCCAGAAAGGATGTCACCCAGAAAGTCAAACCTGTTCTTTGTCATTTCAGAGTACATGATAGAAGTAATTTATTTTAGTTGCAGGAAGAAATGAGTGAATATTAGAAAGCACTTCTTGACACTAAGAGTTTAACAGCATTTACCTAAAGAAGAGGTAACCTTCCATGAATATTTTAATTTGGATTTCTGTACCAAGAACAGACACGATTGCCTAAATGACTCCTTCCAGCTCTGTAATTTTATGATTGTCTTGAGTCATACTCTGATCACTGTTTCTCTGTAGAACAACTCACTAGTGATGGTGACAGTCCTACTTTTTTTTTACCACCTGCTTTTCCTAGCCTGTCACTGTCTAGACATATGAAATTAAACACACAGAATTCCTGGATATGATCTCTGAGCAGGTCCTTGCTCTCTGGAAATGTTGGCAGTTGCAACTGGAGAGAGACAAGTTGGAAAAACTGCTGTATATTATTAACTTTGTTTACGTTCCATGGAATTGTACATTAGGAGAAATTTCCCCCTAAAAATATTATGATTAATAATGTTATACCTAAGCTGCAGTTTCTTGAACCCTTAAAGGGCTAGTACTGTATTTCTATTAAAGATGAGCCTACATGCAGCTGGCTGACCACTCAAGGCTTAGAGAAATCGTGTGTCTGCATCTCTTGTGGGGTCTTCTGGAACAGTTCATAATTTGTAAAATTCCAGCAGTTTCTGTTTCTGGTTAACAGTTCCTTAGAAATTCTCCTTTAATCAGGGGAATAATTTTCAGTTGTATAGTCTAGAAGAAAGCAAAAAGAAACTGTTGATGCTCCCCAGAATATTCTTTTTCAGCCTTGTCTCACCCATACACATCCTGTAGAATAAAATTAATGAAACTGAATAATGTCTCACTAATTTCATGGGTTTTTTTGAACCATGGGTAAGTCTAAGTCTGACAGCCATGTTTTGTTTGGATTGAACGACATATAAGTTTTAGTCAGTAAATAAATAATCTATATGTTCATAACCTTCATATGCTATTTCATTAATACTATAAAACATCCTTTACCTGAAAGATTCCATCCAGATAAATTGTAACTACAGTATCCACAATTCCTGACTAATTTGGCTGTGTTTAATGGGAATTCTGGAAACTCTAGCCTCAGCATAACTGGAGACGATTAGGTTGGGTAAGGCAGTTGTAAAAACACGCAAACACTGTTTAGACACTTTTAGTCATAAATTTGTGTGAGATTTGTTGCCTTTATGAAACAGTAACTGATGTAAACACTAAATTTCAGATACATCTAATGCTGAGTTACCTATTCTTCTGTACTTCTCAGCCATCATGCTAAATGACAGAGATCTTTATATAAAAACTAGACAACCAGTAACCCGTTGGGTCATCGTTTCAGAGATATTTCTTACCTAAACAGAGAAACAGAATGATCAAGGGCAAAACAGCAGCAGGAGCGCAAGTGACTTGTGACTTGCTGCTGGCTTTCCCATTGACTTTCCTAGTGGGAAACTCCCTCCCTCCCTCCCTTCATTTCCACATGCAATATCGGCTTGTGCCATTTGCCCTCCCCTCATGACCCTCAAGATAGCCCCAGTGAAGCTGCCCCCTCCCCCCTCCTCCTTCTCCTTGGTCTTGCTGAAGGGAGGTGGAACCAAGGGAGCCACAGTCTGTGAGGAAAACTGTACCCCCTCCATATTCCGGCATGTCCCCAAGGGCCCCCTCCCTCGAAGGAGGAAGAGGGCTCACCCATCGACCACCAGCACCCCCCAGCCAGCCCTACCTTGCCAACAGGCATCCAAGTCACTCCCTTGTCCTTCTCTCACTGCCAACTGCTGTTAAGAGATTTCAAATTTCTGCCTCAGTTCCAAAGCATGCAATTGCCGCTTGCCTGTCAGGCTTGCTGCTAGCCTATTGGGCGCAGGGGACAGAGGGGGGCGGGAAAGAGGTCAGGAACATGCCCATGACAATCACGTGACATGGACTGACTGCTGTAGCGCAGTGCTGAAGTAACCACAATTTTCCCAAATTTCAATCCTGCGGGAGTCATGGGTCCTTACATTCTGTAAGTTAGCCCATTTGAGATAAATTTGTTAGGAAATTGTTGCCCTCCTGTGCACCGTTTTGCCCAGTTAAAGGTTGCAGACAGAGTTAGTAGTATATAGATATATCCCTTACACTGAAAGCAAAAGTTTGTTACCATTCAAAATTATTTGTACAAAACAACAAAGAAAGGATCAGCCAGCTGTCCTGTGCAATATTCAGCAGTCTACAAGGAAAATGCAAGCGTTACTCAGGCTTCATGTGACAAACAAATGTACTTTCCAAGTTCATTGGCCATATTAAGAGTAATATTAGTATGACTATGATTTATTGTATGGACAGATATATAATTACCGTGCTAATGTCAGGCCTGCACAACTCATAGAGGGGAAAGCACCATAACTACCTTAAAAATAAGCATGAACCACAAAGGAATAGCTGATGGGCAGATCAGCGGTTCAGACCAATGGAGCTGGCTGTGTCTGTGAGGCCTGGAGGTGCTCAGGGGCATGTTTTTTGGGGTGGAAGTGGCTGCAGTGGTGGATCCTTCCTGGTGGCAGCGATACTTGGCACCAGTGGATTGGATATTTTTCAAAAAACACCAGCGGGCCACACAAGGGTGCTTGGCAGGCTTTAGGTTGTGCAGGCCTGCTAATATACATCCACAGTAACTGCAGGTCAATGTGCCATGCTTATGTCAGTAGTCCTTGCTTAATGACTGTTTGTTTAATGATGGCTCAAAGTTACAACGGCCTTCGAAAGGATCTTTACGGCCTGTAAAGCACTTCCGGATGTCACAAAATGTCCCCCCCCCGTGGTCATGTGGCCTCATTTCAGGCACTTGGCAACTGGCTCGCATTTACAACCAGTTCCAGGCACCCTGCGACCATGTGATCACCATTTGCAACCTTCCCTGCCGGCTTCCAATGGGGAAGCCGGCAGGGAAGGTTGCAAGTGGAGGGGACACGGTGGGGGGCAGTTTCAGAGCTCAGATCATCAGGATTTGAAGTCCCTGCCTTCGCACTGCTGTGAGGCTTCCCCTCCTTTTTCAGCGGTGTGAAGGCATGGGCCTGAAATCTTCAGGTGATCCATTCGCTGTTGAGAGAAGGGAGGGGAAAGAGGACGGAGCGAAAGAGCTGTCTGATGAAGGATTTCAGCTCCATGTGGTGCTGAAATCCTTCAACAGACAGCTCTTTTGCTCTGTCCACTTAATGACCTGGGAGATCACTTAACGACTTCAACTGGGAGTGCCTGGATTGCAGTTGTTAAGCAGAGGAGTCACATGAGCATGTCGCTTAATGACCGCTTCACTCAGTGACCAAGTTTCCAGTCCTAATTTTGGTCATTAGTCAAGGACAACCTATACATATTTTCCTGTTTGGTGCTACCTATAAATCAGAACTAGAATTAAAGAATCTGAAGAACAACTGTTCTGAATGGTAATGGTAAAAGACAGGGCAGCAGATTTTGTGAAGAATGCTCCATTTTATTTGTACTAATTTCATTTTTTAGATCAAGTCTTGAGAAAGAGGCTTACAATAACAGCATTAAAAGAAAAGGCAGATTCCAGTGGTAAGTTTCTGTTTGTAAAACTAGGTAAGGATGATTAAACCCCTCTGGAATACCCTCAAAATTTATTCCAGAGTGTTCCCCCCAACTATCCAGAGCAGCTGGGGGCAGAGAAGAATGAGGAAAAGGTCTGTTGCGTGATTTTGGATTATACTCAAAATAATTAATCAAATCACTTACCAAAAATAAAAACCAGAATCAGCTAAAATCACATCCAGGGCTTTGGCTATCAAATCAGTACAATGCTCAGTTGTGATTTAAAATTCATTGATCTTCATTTATACCTACTATATAAATCATAAACCTCTGGGTAGAAAGACAGAATATAGACTCTATAAATCATATTCCTAATAAACCGTACCCATATAAAAGCATATGCTTTGAGAGTACACTCTGTATAAATATGTATATCTCAAACTATGAATGTACCAATTTTCACCATTAATATCTGAATTTGAAGATTATATGTTCAGTTAGCTTTCTTTTGGATTGTTTTACACAAAACACTTCAAGGATCCCACCTTCTTTAAGATATTGGTGAGCTATTATGTTCATAAAAAGAAGGCTGGATTACAGACTCTCACAGCCTTTCCAATCTGGTGCCTTCAAGATATATTGCTACTGCAGCCTCATAATTCCCAGACAGCATGTGATCCTCAGGCTCTGGGTGCAGTGTTGTGAAGGCTGAACCATCAAAGTTGTTTTCTGTGGAGATTACCACTATTTTAGTTTATAAGGTGTGCATAAGAAACATGTATTTGGATGAGGAGCAACTACAACTACATTTATTAGAGCTTACCCCTACGTTAATGCACTAATAGAATTACAGCTTGGATCTTTCTTCCTGCAGGATGCTATTACATTTTAGAAATGTAAATCTCTTTCTAATGCACTTTTTCTCTGAGGTTGCAGATGAAGAATTTGTTTTTAAAAATTCAATTCTATGTATGGTGAAGATGACTTCACAAGTTGATCATTTTTTCATAGAAAGCATTTCTGCATGAGAAATAGAATGTAGCCTTTTTGTGTGTTCAGGACATACGGCAGTCTGTACTGTATATTGTTTCCTTCAGTAAAGTGTTTATTAGGTGTGCATTTTGTAAAACAAGCTGCAGGTTGAAAGTAACTCCTATAAAAATCAGTACATTATTCCCCTATGATTGTGATGAAAAAGAAAACCTGCTTCCTATTCCTAGTCCTGTTCATTCAAAATCAGTTCAAACAGACTCATCAAGTGATTCCAGCAAATGGTCACATACAGGCCCATTTGCAGATGTGGGGGTTATAACTAAGGGAGGATGTTCTGCTGAGATCAGGGGTTGCAGCACAAGAGAGGAAAGAGGTTTAGGACTGTTCAGTACTGTAGGACGCAAACTTCACTGTGTAGTGTTTGATAGGTTCAAAACAGCATTTGTTACTAGAACATAGTTGAAATTGTAAATATGCAATTAAAAACAATGACTTTTTGTTGCTGGTTTTGTTTGTGCTGAGGTTTGTTAAACCATAGTTTGTGATTTAGAAGGTGTAGAAATACATTCAATTATGATTTATTCAGTAAACCTTAGTGAAGCAACCCATAGTTTAGAAAGAGGTGTGAAGCTAGCCAGTATTTATCCAAATAATAATAGGCCAGATTGAGAACAATAATAATTGCAGATGTTTTGTTCTATGTCTCCTGTGTGTATATGGGAGGGAGGGAGGGA